AACATACTGATACTGGCCTTGCACAGCCCTCACAACCCAACTGGCAAAGTTTTCTCTAAGGAAGAGCTTGAAGTGATCGCTGAAGCCTGCTGCAGATGGGATTGCCTTGCTATAACAGATGAAGTATGAGAATATTTTTGTTAATATTTGTGAAAAGTGAAACACGTATATGGTTGAATATCTCACTTGTTTAGAACATGCATGATACATGCTTCTACAATGTCTCACTGAACAGTTCTAATGTGTGGAGACCTTTGTCCCAATGTAGACTATATAAGCTGGGTAAAACTATAAGGTTTTTTAAGTTGTTTATTATTATTTTTTTCCTGAAGGTAGTATTTGAATTTAAAACATGAGGCTATGCATAGGTATCATTCCCCTTTTTTTTCTTTTTTTTGGGCTAAGTAGGTCACTTTCCAGTTGATTACTGGATATTAGGCAACACTTCATATTGTCGTTTTTTACAAGGATTGAACTGAGCAGAGTGCTGATGAAGTACATAGAAGAACAGTACGCATAAAGAGAGGAAATTAAAACCATTGCTTTTATATATATGGACAGAATTGCAAATATAGCAGAAGTTCATCTTATGATACACTTGCCATCATGCCGCTATTTGTCAAATTCCCTAACTGAAATAAACATTCTGAGTGGTTAATTGTCATGTAATTTTTATTCATTTTTCCTTAAGCAAAGTGCAATTATCATCTGTAATCTGTAGTGGCAGTTCTGTCTAAAAGAAAGAAAACATTGACCTATTTCATTCATGTCTGAGGATTGCTTTGTCTTCATACTTGTTTCTGCAGGTATATGAGCACATAACATTTGATGACCAGAAACATATATCTCTTGCCTCACTCCCAGGAATGCAAAAGAGAACTATCATCACATCCTCCTTGTCTAAAACTTTTAGTGTTACAGGTCAAATAAAAAACATCTTATCCACAGAATTTAGGTCTGAATTTGTTTGGGGTGATGTCTCATTTTTTTCTTAATATGTTTTTCAGGTAGATGTGCCACAATCATTTTCCTCTGTCCACTGTATTATGGCATAATTTCCAGTCTCCCTCAATAACTGGTTCTTAATTACGTCTAGTTTTGATATAGAAACAGAGTGATACTCACTGTTATGAGTATTAGGTTGGAGAATTGGATGGGCTATTGCTCCAGCTTTTGCTGCATCTGCAATCCGAAACATTCATGTCAAAATTACAGATTCTGCTCCAGCACCTTTCCAAGAAGCTGCCTTAACTGCTTTGACAAGCCCCCCTGAATATTTTGAAGGACTAAAAAAAGTAGGTTCCTTTGACATAGCCATGTTTTAGTCTTTTACTTGTCACTGTGGAGTAAATGACCATAGCTTACTTATTGTTATAACACAACCAAAATGCAAGATCATGCTAATGCTCTCACCGTCACCTTTTTGCATATTTATTTGCTATTTATGAGCAGGAATATGAATTTAAAAGGGATTTCATTGTGAAGGTGCTCACCTCGATTGGTTTTCAAATTCATTTTAAGCCCCAAGGTTCCATCTTTTTATTTGCAGAGCTTCCCAAGAATTGCTTGCTTTCTGATGTAGGTAGATGTACATTTTTTTTCTTTTTGAACTTCGGAGCTTCATTCATTCTAAGAATTGATCATATATTAATTTGACTTTTATAATGCCAGAAATTCTGCTAATAGTTTGTTTATGTGGTATAAATGATGATTCTGTTCTTTCCAGGTAGAATATGTTAAGGAATTAATAAAAGAGGCAGGGGTGGTTGCTGTACCAGGATGTGGATTTTTTCATACAAAGCTTTCTATTGAACCATCATCTGAGGCAAGTTGCAGCTACCGGAAGAGATATGTAAGGTTTGCCTTCTGCAAAAGTATTGCTACTTTGGCAGCCGCTGCACAGAAGCTTAGTGATCTTAAGAATGCTACCAGGTATGAACACTCCTAGTATGCGAGGTGAGTTAAGGTATGAGAGAGAGTTATCTCTTCTAGATAAAAAAAAATGATATGCTTACAATGTCATGTGATATTGTAAATTTATACCATGTGTTCTTATATAATTAATTCTTTTTATTCATAAGTCTACATGTAATATTTTATGAGCCTTCTCGTTAAATGTTACATTATACTTATTTAATGTTTTATATGATTGTAATGTGATATAAATTTGTAAGTTTACAATCTTACATGATATTATAGCTATATTATTACCGTTATATAATTGACTTTTTTCATTTAGTTAGACATAGGATTATATGCATCAAGTTCTTTAATATCAAATTCAGTGCTAGTGATAACCAGATTGAAATCAATTTGGATTTGTTTCTCTTAATTTTTTTTTAATTTTTCTTTAATTTTTCCCATCCTCCACATTTCCCTTTCTTAAAAAAATAAGAAAAATTATTCCACATTTCCCTTTGTAAAAGAAAAAAAAATTCAGATAAGATATTATTTGATTGAATGATGCCTTTGTTTGATTAAGGGTGAGCATTGGAGATGGGTACACGGTACACCTGTTTCTTGTGAGTATATTATTTGTTTAGATAAGTTTCATACCCGAACTATAAAAAATTTAGATAAGTAATAATGGGTATGAAAACTATATACATGTAAGTATCAAATTAAGTAACAAATATAAGAGTTTAGAATTGTTTACCAGATTTGTTTAACCGAATTGTTTGACTGACTTGTTACCGTAGTTATATAATTGAAATTTTACTTATATTTATATACTTTATATGCATATAATAACAATAATTTTTTAAAATAAAAATAATAAAGCATAGAAATAATCCCTAATCTTAAAAAATCACATG